TTCAACAGCTTCTGGTAGCTCACGCGCACCTTCACCGGGTGGTTGGGAGGGCAGTGCTCCTTGAACCACCCCGCCACCAGCGGGATATCCTCTGCTCTCCTGGTCCGCCCCGACCGCCGGTTGAAGGGGTACGGCGCCCAGAGCAGCGCGATGCCGGCTGCTGTGGCGTCGGTGTAGAGAGGTGTGGAGGAGAGGAGCGGCTCGACGCCCTCAGGAAGTGTCCACTCCTCCTCCTCCAGCTCCTCTTCCAGGGCTGCGCGCGAGGCTCGGGACTCGGATCGGTAGTGCGGGATGGGGTGGATGAGCGGGTCGTAGTAGAAGGCGGGCAGGTCCGGGTCTTCTGACTTGATGTACATGACCTGGGGGGGGGGGGGGGGGGGGGGAAGAGTGGGAAGGCGGGGGAAGAGGAAGGGGGGGAAGGGGCGGGTGGGGAGGAGATAAGACATGGGTAGGGTTAGTGGTACAAGGCTGGAAAGTCCGGGTCTTTGGACTTGATGTACATCACCTGGTAGGGAGGGTGTGGGGAGGAAGAGGAAGGGGAGGAGAGGAAAGGATGGGGGAGAGGAAAGGGGGGTTGTGAAAAGGGGAGTGAGAGGAGGGGTGGGGGGAAAGGGCGTGGGGGAGAGGAAAGGGGGGAGAGAGGAAAGGCGGGGAGAGGGGAAAGGGGGGCGAAAGGAAGGGTGGGAGGGGAGACGAAAGGGCGGGGAAGGAGAAGGGAGGTGGAACGAGGGGGGAGAACGGGGGGCAGGAGGGGGGACGTAAACACATGGGCAGGTTAAGAGGGGCAAGTGAGAGAAAGCAACCAAACGAAAGGGTTTGTAAGTGGAGACAGGAGGTGTGGGAAGGGGAACGCCACGAGATGGGCAAGAGTGCAACAAGAGCAAGTTAATTCACCATCAGAAGCGGCAGCAGCAGCAGCTAAGGCTCGAAAAAGCTCTCATTCATCCGCTTCCCTCTCGCACCCAGCCCACCCTCACCCTGCCGCCTCTCACCCGCACCCACCACCCTCCCCCAACCCATGTCCCCCTCAACCCCAGCCGCAACCCCAGCCCCAACCCCAGCCCCAGCCCCAGCCGCTGTCCCAACCCCAACCCCGGCCTCTCAACGGCGCGCTCACCTGCGGCGTGTGGTAGGCCTGCACGGCGACCTTGCGCGGGCGGCTGTTGTAGAGCCACGGGAACGCAATCCTGTACTCGGTGCGGATGGGCGTGCGGATGATGAGCTTGCCGATGTCGTTGAACTCGTTCCAGTCCTCCTCCGCCTCGGGCTTCTCGCGGAACAGCGGCTCGAACTTGGGCCCGCCCGGAATGCACATGTTGAGCGCCTTGGCCGTGAAGAAAGAGTTGAGATCGAAGAGGTAGAAGTAGTTCTCATCGATCAGATCCGATAGAAGCTGACCCGCTAGGCGGAAGAGAGTTGCCTGGATCGGGACGCTCAGCTCCCACTTGCGGTAGCTCGGTCCGTTGACCAGTCGCGTGTTGACAAGCGGCTTGGAGTCGTAGAACCAATCGTAGACCGCCGAGTCCTCCTCCTCGTCGAGCTCCAATTGGACGGCATCGAGAGGATCCACGTGGAGCACGTTCTCGGCATAATCCAACGGCGGCTCTTCGTCGTCGAAGGGCGGGAAGCGCATGCGCTTGAAGTGGCGGCGATCGCGCTTCTCGCGGCGCATCATGATCCACATGGTGCCCCACTGCGCCATGTACACGGACGGAATCACCAGCGGCGTCTCGTTCACGAACGTGATGGCGCCCGTGATGTGGTACAGCACCTTCACGTGCCGCACCTGAGGAACGGACGGGATGAGAGGGAACAGAGAAACGAAGGCAGCAGAGGAAATTAGCGGGATGGCACGGCAAACGGAACTGGAGACAGAAGAAAGAAGGAATTCGTCAGAAGGCAGTGACCAGATCGATGGATGAAATCGATCAGACGGGAAAACGACGGAAGACTGAGCGACGGAAAAATAAAAAGAAGGGAGGAATCAAATTCAAAATTAAAGATACGGGAAGCAAGTTGGAGATGGTATCTACACATCCTGAAAATAGTGCAAAGAAGAACGAAGAAATAAATTACGGAATTTTGAACGTAGAAACAGATAAAGAACGAGAAAAGCAAGCCCACCTGCTCCCAGGGCATCGGCATGTTCTCCAGAAGCTTCAGCACCGCATGCGGCACGAACTTGAGCGCGCCGAGGTACACGCGCTTATCGCGGCGGAACTTGCGCGAGCTCATGTCGCCGTGATCGCGCACGATCTTGCGCACGTGCTCCGGCGGCATGTCCTCCTTCTGATGCTCCACGTACCCAAACCGCCGCTTCTCCGCGTACCGCTTCTGGTTCAGCTGCTGCCATTTCCTCGCCTTCTCCTCCAACGCGGCTTCGGAATTCGGAGGTAACGCATGCTGCTGCTGCTGGTTGCTGCTTCCCGGACCGGAATAAGGGTAGCGGCCCGCCATGGCTCCTTGAAGTGAAAGCGACGATAATTTTGGAAAGACGACGACCTATAAACGTCTAACTAAACGGATGACGGCTAAAAGAAAAGGAATGTAACGAGAAAGAAATTGCAAAGATAAGCTGGGTCACCGATCTCGTGTCTCGGAAAAAGACGTAACCCCGATTCAATCGCAGATCTGGTAAAAGAAAAGGCCGACGCTAAAACTAGGCCGCGAGAGAATCTTATCGCAACGCCCTTTATCCTGCGTCTAGGCGACAGACTGATCCGGATGGCGCCATGTTCACGCAAGGCAAGGAGATGGCGCGCTGGCGAGAGCAGCAAGAAACCCTACCAGCAGCTACTAGGGAAGAGCAACCTAGGGAATATCTTGGTTGCAAGAGGATAACACATGAGGCTTGGCCTAGATCGCTATTTCTTTCCTTATACCGCACGAGACCTTCCTCTATCCTTTTGCACCATGCTTGAACCTTCCAGTGGTTCACTCTACATGCAGACTGGGATAGGCCCAAGCAAGCAGCCTGAAAAAATCGAGAAAGCACGCAACTTTTGGATGATTCGTTTCGGAAAGTTTCGTTACACGAGAAGTACAATACACTTCCTACGTATCCAGGAAAATTAGCTGCCTACCAGGAGAGCATCAGCAACGAGATCGTAGGCAGTGCTCGTTGGATCACACTCACTATAGGGTACAGCTGTGGCTCACCACGTCAGCAAACTTCCCCCCTCCCCGAACCACCCCAAGAAAGCAGAACTTGCCCCCCCACAGCTGTAACTTCTTCCGCCAAGCTGGGAAGTCCGAGCTCGCACTGAACACACTTTCCCCATTCCCCCCCAACAGCGCAGACCTATTGCCCCCGTCTTCCCCTCCCGTCCCTCGCGTTTCTTCCTTTCTCCTCCTCCCTGCGCCCTCCCTCAAAGCCCCAATAGCAGCATAACTGTGATCCTTTCGCCCTCCTTTCTGCCTTCACCCACCGCTCCTACTCCTCCCTTAGTCGCACGAGCACGACTCCACCCGAACAGCCACAATGAAGGTTGTCGCCGCTTACCTCCTCGCGCTTCTCGGAGGCAACGCGAGCCCCGCCGCTGCCGATATCAAGGGCATTCTTTCGTCAGGCATGTGCTCGCTAACCCTCCACCCTCCCGTCCTAGCAACGCGCTTTAGGGTTTAGAGCTGACACGTTTTACATACAATTGTTTGATACACGAGAAGTCTGAAGTTTATGAGGAATAATCTGGCGGAAGCTTTGATCGTCGGATCCTTAGTTATTCGCAAGTCCATAACCCTAATTCGCCCACTTCCTTCTCCTTCCTCGCCACACCCCCCTTCCGCCACTTCCGTCGTGGCCCCGCCATTCTATTGTTCCCGTGATCCCGCAGTCGGCGCTGAGGCCGATGATGACAGGATAGACCTGCTGCTGAAGCAGCTGGAGGGCAAGGACATTAACGAGGTCATCGCGGCCGGCCGAGAGAAGTTCGCCGCGGTGCCCAGCGGTGGCGGCGTCGCCGTTGCCGCTTCAGGCGGTGGCGGTGCCGCTGCTGCTGCCCCCGCTGAGGAGAAGAAGGAGGAGAAGAAGGAAGAGGAGAAGGAAGAGTCCGACGACGTACGTACCTTTCGTTTCATCTACAATGCTCTTTTGTTTGCTTAACCTTCTCCACGTCGTCCCCCGCCCCTCCCGTTTTTCTACTTTCCATATGCTGGATGCTATCGTCCCTTTACCTTCAAACCCCGTGCCTTTTTCCTTCTTCCGAAACGCGTAGTCGTAGTTATCGCCGAGAAGCGTGGCCGATTTAGATAGAGCGAGACAGCGACGTGCACAGCTGGTTGCTGGGAACTTATAATCAGGAGGGGGTTTAGTTGAACTTGAAGACCTACTGAAGGCTGTCTCTCTGCGTAGCCCTAGCAGAACCACAACATTGCAACTTGCTCGGCGACAGGCGGTTTTTTCACGAGAGTTGGAAGCTGGTGGTATATGGATCCGAGCAGTCTTACAGTAGAGGGAGCAGTTGATGGTTATTTACTTTGAGAAGATGACGTAACAGGTCGTCTAACATTCGCGCAGGCTTTCAGCAGTGATTCATTAGCTCCCTACAACCCGTTGCGTTTCTCCTTATACCAATTTTGGTTCCATGTGCCTTACCCCTCTTTTACGATGTGCAGGATATGGGTTTCAGCCTGTTCGACTAAGCAATGTCTCCACTCCAATTTGCTCTGCACATTTTCCATCCGTTAGGGTTCTCCATGTCTGAGCCCCTTGTCTGATATCACTGACGGTATGAGCATTATTTGTGCAACGTCCAGGAATGTATAGCACTTCCTCTCCCACATTTGTCGAAAGAGCTCCTGTGAGAGCGAGGGTGTAGTCATGAGCATTTGGGAATTGTTAAGATCAATAAAGAATACGCTAATCAAACTTCTGAATCAGCTGAAACTAGTCCTAGAAACTGAAGCACGATGAATGTGGCCTGGCCACTCCACTGAGCTATCTAGGTAGACCTTGGGGATCTTGTCTGGCATAGCATACGGTATTGTGTCCACTCCACTGTCTACTGGCAACCAGCATCTCCAACTGTCAGGCGCCTTGCTTGGAAAGAATGCATCACCTTCATCCTCAAATCCCTCTCCAGGTCTGCTTTCCTCTGTTCATCTCCAGTAATTGTCTTGTGATACTCCTGAGATTCCATCACTGTCTTGCCTGCTGCTGCCAACTTCGGCATGGAAACCCAATCAGGATCCTCAGTTTGTGAAATGTCAGCAGGTCCATCCAGGAGCACAGTGTCGAGCCACCTTCTGTCTCTCTCCTCAAACTCCTGGGAACATATTTGAATCTCCGCATCTTGCTTCATTGCTTCTGGTTCCATGATTGGGAGGGGCACCCAGTCATCTGGATGATCTCCACCGCTCTCCGCCTTCTTGCTCGCCTCCCTGGCAGCCTGCTTCTCTGCCTTTCGTTGCCGCTTCTCCTCCCGCCTCTTCCGCCTCTCCTCCTTCCGAGCCCTCTTCTCTTCCTTGAGGCGCCGCCTCTCCATCTTCCTTGCCTTCCTTTCGTCCCTTGTCTCCATGCCCTCGCACTCTCCTGCAGAGCCGGCTGAATCCATCATGCTCTTTTTCACACACGACTCGTCCTCAGATGAAATGTCCATGTCTTCAACCTGGCGACTCGAGTCTTGCTGGTCCGGGCTTTTGTAGAACTTGTCCTGTCCATGAGATGTATCTTCTACTCCACATGCTCCTGCAGCCAAGGCTTTAGTAGAGGCTTGTGGAGGACTGCAAGCATCTCGAGATATAGCACCAACAAACCTTCCACCGTCAACAGCAACTTGTGCAGTTGCACCTCCAATGTCCTGCAAAGATCCACCAGCAGGATGTGCCGCAGCAGCACACTGATGGTTTTCAACCTGAGCAGTGACACGAGTAGCTACAGCAGTATTCTCAGTGCTCCGAGGCTGTCCTGCGAGCTTAGCTTCGTCGCATGGCCCTTCAAAAACCAGACGCGCCTCAGGCTGGCTCTTCCGGCTGAATTGAGGAGAGGAAGGCCTCTTGAAACTCCTGGAAGCAAAGAGGAGAGAACATCAGCAAGAAATCCCAGCCTGAATTGAGACATAATGCATTGAACAGGTCGCTCCTTACCTTAGTTGGATATGAGAACGCCATTCTCGACGACAGTGAAATCCCGGGGGTGGTGATTGGGGCTGCTGTGTATCTTGTATGTCGTGGAGCTCAGAGTTGATTTTTTTCTCAAATCCAGGAGGGTAAGTCTTTTGCCGTTCAATGTTGACACTCAGTTCAGCCAGTGAATCAGTCCCATTCCGCGAGCAGTTGAATCCAGGTGGGTATGATGTCATGCTGGCGGTCCGGTTAGAGTTGTTGCCTCGGAAGGACCTTGCAGCTCCCTCCCTCTTGTATGCTTTCCCCGACGACCATGATTGTCGTGGGTTGCAGCTATTACGTCGTAAGTTGCGATGCCATTGAGGCTGTTGGTGAGAGTCAGAAGATCGACCAAATCGAAGGGTATTATTGAGTGGAAATCGATCGCCGTGATTGTAACGATTTCCATGATGGTTGGAGAACCTTCTACGCTTGTGCGCATTGAAATCTCGTCGCTCAACTGCACTGTGAGAGCGCTTCCTGAAAATACAGAAAGCACAGTAGAGAGTCAGCATAATTGGCCACTGTGCGGGAGGATTGTGATGAATGATGACTGGGAAAAAATACCTTTTCCAGTCTTCGTCTTGTGCGTGGAAGTGATTGCTTCGGTTGCTTCTTTGCAATTCTGCATCTCCGTCGATCGTCGGAACCTCGTGGTCTTCTTTCGTCCCGCGTTCCTTTTGAGACTCCTCAAGGATATCTGACGAGAGCCGTGCAGCAGCTTCCAATGCCTTTTTTCTCGCATCTCCTACCTCAGTGGGCTGAATGGAAGAGTAGAAGAAATCGTAAGTTGCAGTAAAATGCACAGATTATCTGCTAGAGCAAAGAAACATCACAGCCTTACAATTAATCCATTCTCCTCGGCGAATTCGTCCAGAAGTTTCTGCGGAATCCCGTGCTCATTGTGATGAGCGTTACGGAGGATTTTCCACAATTCCTTCATGAAAGTAGTCGTGTGATTCTCCAGGAACCCTGTCAGCTGTATCTGCATGCGTTTGGGATCCACCTGCCATAATGAAACGTGAAATATAGCATAAGGTGTGTTTCACCAAACAAAGCACGGCCCGATCGCATTTCATAATCTGTAGTAGAGCACACATCGCAATATTAGAAACACATTTCGTGAAGAAAAGCTTTCCGCGCAAATAAAGCTCACCTCGTCTTGGAGTAGACTAAAAATGAAATTGATTAGAACCTCATCTTCAACTCCAAGGAGCTCTGTCACTCTTCTAGCAATCCACGGGTATATTAATTCCTTCTTCACTTTCTTCATATCCACCTGCAAAAAAACGATCTATCAGGTGACGAACAAGCCCATACTACGCCGCTTTGCAAGATAAAGGATCCAGCTTACAGGTTTATCAAATATTTTTGAGAATCGCTGTGTCTTCAGGAGCTTCGTGTCTTTGTCCGAAAATCTAACATCCTGATCAGCGCTCGGACCTCGCCACAGACCCTCAGCCATTACACTGCTTACACCAATTTGTCCGACGGAACTCTAGTGATCAGAGACGCCACACGGGCCTCAGTGCAGCGCTTTGGTTTCTGTTGACAGTCTCCTGCTTCATGGATGCGGTTGATTGTGATGGTGGCACTTCAGCGGGCATTTCGAACTTCAGAAAAACGTCGGAGCTGATTCAACAAATTCTCGAGGTCTTCGTGTCGCGCATCGATCATGCCTCCGTCGACATGTTCGAGGGGAACAGCTCTGAAACGGGATGTTCATCTGAATCTTCAGAATTGACAGTACACCCGTACAGTCTATTCTATGACAACAATAACACTTGAACTAGAATATGCATAGCTAGCAGCAGCTACCCATTGACTTACCGGTAGTGAACCTGGAAAGTCAAGAGAACTTAATATTCATTGCAGGCAGAACAGTCACCTGGCTTGTCCGAGTCAATCTCATGGGGCATGGCTTGCCGTACCATTTCTGTGCGTAGGTGGATGCTCTAGCAGCACCTGCGACTGTTGGTCGATGCTCTGCTAGCACCTGTGTCTGGGGTGATGCTGTATGAGCATGTCTCTTGGGCAATGCTGCATGACCATCTGTATCTCCTGGGTGATGCTGTACAAACATCTGTGCATCCTGTGTAGTGGTGTATGAACACCTGTGACTGCTGGGTTATGCTGTCTGAACACCTGTCCGCTGGGTTATGCTGCATGAACACCTGTGTCTGTTGGGTGATGCTGTACGAGCGTACATGTATGCTGTTTTCCTGGTTGGGTCTTGGTCGCACATGTCCTGCTTCCCTGGTCGGGAGTGGTGGCTGTCTCCCTAATTGGGCTCTTTCTTTGCTTTGGCGCGTGTGTCTTCTTGATACGCCACAGCTCTGTGTTTGACTAGACATGGCTTCTCACTTTCTTGGGTGATTCTTTTGTTCTGGCTTCGTTGGGTGGGTGCACCTTACCATACCTTGTCATGCTTCAGCATACCTCACACTACTCTAAAATACCTTGCCCTACCATATCTTGCCATGCCTCCCTACCACTAGTTTTGCTGATTCTACTGCTGCTATGCATACACCACTGCTACTGCCATGCCTGCTGGTGCTGTTCCAGATGGCTATTGTTGACCTGGGCCAGAAGGTGATGCTGAGAGGATAAGAATACTCTACCTGGAAAGAATACGAGGGGCAAGAGATACAGTATGAGAAACACGACTCAGAGGAGAAGAGACTGTTCTGGGGAAAAGGAAACATTGCACTTGTGAAACTGGTGAGTTTAGGAGCGAATAGCCTGGAAACAAGTGAGCTGAATGGCACAAGTGCGGTTTGAAGGCACGAGGGCAGGGACTTAGTGAACAATATAGCATGGCAATGTTACTCATAAGTGGGTGGGTGCAGCGAGGGCGATGTTACTCACCCTGTTCGTTTCCAAGCAAGCCTTTCATCCTCCCTCTGTCCTTCGCTGCTTTACCCGTTTCCTCCTGTCCTCCTCTGCTCCTTCCCTCATTTTCTCCTTCCTTCCTCCCCTCCTCCCTTCCTGCCTGCACGTTGATGGCGTTGCTACAACCATGCCTGTTGCGTGATTGGGGGGGAGTAGGGGAGTAAAGCAGAATCAAGGAGCATAAATTGGGAGGGAAGAGCTCGAATACGCAGAGAGAATGGCAGAGGCAAAACATTCAGAAGCAAATAAGGTTTGACTGAAACATTGGAGGATAGGAATGGAAGCGACAATGCAGCTGTAATCCCACATGCTCTCCTCTCCACATGCTGAAATGCCACAGGTTGTAGAAGGGCACGAAGGGGGTTGGGTGCAGCAAGTGAAAAAGGAAATAAAGGGGCTGGGACGGAGGGAGGGGAGGAAACACTACAGCAAGCACTAAGGCAGCGATGAACAAAAGCAGGGAAATATAAGCCAGAAGAAGACCAATTAAGCGATGGAGGAGAGTGGGGTTTACCCAGCGGCACGAACATCTAAGAGAATTTCTTCCTCTGCAAAACACGCTTGGTGACTTGCTGAGAATCCAGATAATTGCTGTATCTTTGCATCGCTCCCCTCACCCAGTCACCTACTCGGATGAGGGTTAGTGGTATGTGGGAGTGCAATGCAGGTCGCTATAGCAAGCAGAGGATACTCACCAGCACCAGAGCAGACACCACAGGAAACAGCACAGGGGAGAGTGCGTCGGAAGCTGCAGAGAAACAGACTCGATGGAAAAACAAGCTCGCTTCAGTGACTTGCCACACGGCGACCTAGACTGCTCTGCCCCCCCAATGAATCCGCTCGAATTACTTACCATACTGCTGTGGTGAGCAAACGACTGAGACAGCTGAGCAGGCGGATCCTCACTCCTAAACCGCACAACATCTCTCTGGGACGCACTGTCGATGTGTCCCTGGGTCTCAGTCAGGCAGACCACCGAGCCAGAGCAGCCAATGCAACACAGCAACACACACAGAGAGAATTTTGTCAGAAGCAGGAAAGAAACAGGCTCGAAGGAAAACAAAGCTCGACCCTACGACTTGCCGCGCGGCGACCTAGACTGCTCTGCCCCCCCAATAGACCTGCCAACTACTTGCCAATGTTGAGCTAGTGCCTGAGACGTCTCAGAAGGCAGACCCGCACTCCTCACTCGCACGGCTCCTTCCTGGGACGCACTGCCAGCACGCCCCGCTGACCGCCAGTGAGCAGCAACGTTATGTCCATCCGCCAGCACGCCACTGCGTCCCTCTGACGCGCCACCGCTGGGAGCAACACCTTCTGTCCCTGTGACTCCCATTCCACGCCTCTCAGTCCACCAGGCACCCGCACCGCACCAGAGCACACATCACAGGAACACACACACAGGAGAGTGCGTCAGAAGCAGAAGCAGAAACGGACTTGGACGAAACAAAGCTTGAATCTAAGACTTGCCGCACGGCGACCTAGACTGCCCTCAACCCCACAACAGACCCGCCCAAGCACTTACCCTGCGGTCATTGTAAGCCAGCCATGCTCTGAGATGAGATGGCTCAGAATGCGGATCCTCCCTCGCTCAGTGCCTCTCCGAGAAGCACTACTGATGGGTCCATTGGCCTGAGGGGAGGAGGCATAGGAACCACAGCACCGAACACAGCACAGCAATGACGGGCACAAAGGAGAGTGCATTATAGGCAGCAGAGAAGGCGGATTCGGAAGAAACAGCGATTCCAAGACTTGCCGTGCGGCGACCTAAACTCTGTTCCAGCCCAAAAGACCGGCCCAGCCACTTACCATGTTGCCGCTGTGTGAGCCTGTGTCTGGCACCTTCCTGGGCCGCACTGTCACCACGTACCTGAGTCTCAGTCAGGGAGACACCCCAACACAGAGCAGCCAACACAGCACGGAGGCAAGCATGGAAGCGAAGAGAATGCGTCAGCAGTAGCAGCAAAGGAAACGGACTCGAAAGAAACAAAACTCGGTTCTAAGACGTGCGGCACGGCAACCTAGACTCCTTGACCCCCCAGATAAATTCGGCGAACGACTTACCGTACTGCACAGTGTCATAGGGAACCAGTATAGCCTGCATTTCCGCTGCTGATCCCTCCCCTGCCTCCACCCATCGATCCCGCAGTCGAGTCAAGTCCATGCGCCAGAGCAGAGCAGAGCCGAGCAGAGTTGAGTCCCGTAGTCAAGGAGGCACCGGATCCGAGAACACAGCCGAAGCAGAATAACAAGCACAGAGGAAAAACACACAAGAATAATACAGAGGAGAGCGCGTAAGAATCAGCAGCAGAAACGGACTCAGAAGAAATCAAGTTCAGGTCTACGACTTGCCGCACGGCGACCTAGACTGCCCTGATCCCCTGATAGACCCGGCCGACAACGTACCGTATAGCCTTTGTGATTCAGAGAGAGGATCCTCTCTCACTCGTAGAACCCCTCCCCTCCCTGGGATGCACCACCCCGTGGGGGAAGGCTTGCTGCCTCGTGCATGGGCCTCAGTCAACACACCACAGCAACACGCACAGGGGGGGGAGCGTCAGAAGCAGCACAGAAAGAGGACTCGGACGAAGCAGAAACCGAATCTTAGACTTGCCGCGCGGCGACCTAGACTGCTCTGCCCCCCTGATACATCCGCCCAACGGCTTACCATACTGTGATGGTGAGGCAGTTTCTGAGGCGGATGAGAAGACGGATCCCCACTCACAGAGCCCCTCCCTTGGACGCACCACCCATGGCAGAGAAGACTGTTGGGGCATGCACAGGCCTCAGGCAAGGAGGCACCGGAACCAGAGCAGCGCACACAACACAGGAGGCACAGAGGAGAGAGCGTCAGAAGCAGCAGAGAAAGCCGACTCGGAAAAAGCAAAGCCCGACTCTACGACTTGCCGCACGGCGACCTAGACTGCTCTGCCCCCCCCCATATATCCGCACGACGACTTACCGTTCTGCAGTGGTGAGGCAGCTTCTGAGACGCTCAAAAGGCTGATCCTCACTTGCAGAGCCCCTCCCAAGACGAACCAACCTTGGCAGGACTATTGAGGTGTGCATGGGCCTCAGTGGAGGAGGCACACACAACACAGGCACAAGCACAGAGGAGAGAGTGTGAGAAGCAGCAAAACAAACGGACTCAAAAGAAGCAAAGCCTGATTCTGTGACTTGCCGCACGGAGACCTAGAGTGCTCTGCCCCCCTGGATAAATCCGCCCAGCGACTCACCGTTGGTGAGGCAGTTCCTGAGACGGCTAGAAAAGTGGATCCTCACTGGACGCACCACCCTTTGGCAGGCAGGACTGCTGACGCAAGCTTGGGCGACAGGGAAGCAGGCACTGGAACCAGAGCCGCACACACAGCACAGGAGGAAGCAAGGGGAGAGAGCGTCAGAAGCAGCAGAAAAAATGGACTTGAGATAAGCAAAAAATTATTTCTATGACTTGCCTACGGCGACCTAAACTGCTTTACCCCCCTATATACTTCCGCCCAACAGCTTACAATAATGCGCTGGTTCGTGAGACAGTTCAGAAGGCGCGTCAGCAGGCGGATTGCTGCTGCCAGAGCACCTCCCTGGCACGCGACGCACGGGCCTCAGTCAAGGAGGCACCCCAACCACAGCAGCGAACACAGCACAGGAACAAGCACAGAGGAGAGAGCGTCAGCAGCAGTAGAGGAAACGGACTTGAAAGAAAGATTGATTTTAAGACTTGCCGCACGGCGACCTAGACTGTTCGACCCCCCAAGCAGATTCGTTCAAGAGCTTACCACGCTGCACAGCCGATAGCACCCATTGTTCGCTCAATCCGCGTTCTCCGCACAATCCGCAGTTCGCGCTTTCTCCGCTCGATGCGCGTTTTTCCGCGCCATCCGCGTTCATCCGAGAATTCCTCATTTCTCCTCGCAACAGCACAGGAACAAGCACAGAGGAGAGAGCGTCAGAAGCAGCAGAGGAAACGGACTCGGAAGAAACAAAAAAAATCATTCTAAGACTTGCCGCGCGGCGACCTAGACTGTTCGACACCCCCCCAATAGATATAGTCAAGAGCTTACCGTACTGCACAGTAACACAGTGCCTCTTCCGCCTCCTGCTTTCGCCGCCCTGTATCCTTGTTGCTGCTCTGATGTCGTTCGTCTTACCCTCCTCGTTCTCCGCGCGTTCTGCATTTCTCCTCGCAATTCACGGCACAAGAACTAGCACAGATGAGAGAGCGTCAGAAGCAGCCGAGGAAACGGACTCGAATGAAACAAAAAATGATTCTAAGACTTGCCGCGCGGCGACCTAGACGGTTCGACCCCCCAATTGCTTTCCACGCACACGCACCCTTTCGAATCCGCGCTGCTGCTCCCCTCGCAATCCGCATTTACCCGCTGCTGCTGGAGTAGATCTGCGTCACTGCTCGCGCACACACAGCTGCTATCAGGTCGACCGCTCTGTCGCAATGCTCTGCGACCTTCTATATCCTTGGCGTGTTTCATCGAAGCAAAGCTCGCGAACGACAGCGAAAGACGGCGATACCGGCGGAAGACAAACTCGGCGCACATCAGCGAAAGCCAGGAAGACGACGAACGCCAGGAAACTCCGCGAAGACTCGGCGAACGGTCGCAGCGCTGCGAAAGGCTGCTATACTCGGCGAACGGTAGCAGCGCTGCGGAAAGCTGCGACACTAAGCGAACGGCACCGACAGTCGGCAAAAGGTAGCGGAACATGGCGAATGGCAGCGAGTATGGCGAATGACAGGAACGAACTTGGCGACCGGCAACGAAAATCGACCGCAGCAAAGGCCAGAACTCGGCAAACGGCACCGAAAGCCGACGACCGCCAGGCGAAAACGGCGAAAAGGTTCGGCTGGATGAAAGGCCGGATGCACAGACGGAAATGACCAGCATGGTAGGACGGCGTCGACGAAAAGGTCCAGGGAGTGATCAGCTGAACCGCGTGTTAAGATCGCTATGGTGGTTAGGACAGCACCCTAAAGGTTACGACTTCATCGTACGCTGTGAAAACGCGTTGTGGAGACTGCTAGCTGATTCTGATCAAGGTCGTGATACGTCCTGCGAACTCGGACCAGCGCGTAAGAAGGTTGTGAATCTACCCTTCGTCTTAGAACCGCGTACTAAGGTCGTTAATCTCCCTGCTTCTCAGAACTACGTAATAAGGCTGTACCTCCGTCGTTGGACCGCAATTGGTATCTAGAAAATGGATCAGTCATAGAGGAGTCGCGACGCCTAACTCTTCATATGTAAAAGGAGAATTGAAATGGTATTTTCCAACCGGCGTCGCTTCAGGCGGATCAATCTCCACCATCGACAGGTGGACTATCGATAGGTATGGCGACAATGGGACTCAGGTAAGAGAGTTTGGTACGAAGAAACAGAGCCATCGCTGGAAGAATGTGACTGGCATGGCAAGCAGGGAGCAACAAGGTACTTGAATTGCTAGGAACCGCCGTCGGTGGGGAGAGGTAGGGAAGGCTGGTGTCAGAGACGACACCTCTGACAACCGCGACAAATATTGGCGGTAAATTCGAGGCGCGGTGCAACGGAGCTTGATTCTCGGAAAAAAAAGGGTATCGCGTATAACATAGTTATGACCATAGTCAGCTATGAGATCTTGTAAGGAATTTTCTCAGGCATTCCTTACGGAGCCGACTACATCGCGTACAGCAACAGCCGACTGTTCGCCCGTTACTGCTAACGGAACTTCGCCGACTTCGCGCGCACTGTTTTGCCAAACCTCGCACTGCTGGCATGGCCGTATCGGCCTACGCTTCGGGACTAGCCCGAGCTTCGCTCCAGCGTAGCACTAGCAAGTTCGCACGCACCGCGTTACCGTTTTGCATGTTTCGCGTATAAATGTTCGCTCATGCCTTCGCTCACATTTTGTACTCGTTTGACACCTTAGTGCAATTCTCGCTACCTCGATTCATTGCACCCGTAACACTTGGTTATCAGAGCCCCTTTCTTTCGGACCGCGCATCTCCGCACACCAAGAAATCAACTTTTGATTTTTCACTCGAAGGGACTCACGCACCTTAGCCCCTAGGAGCCGCTGTCCTCGCGTTCTCTCGTAAACGCGTGCAGCCACGACTGCGCCTAGACTATGACGAGCCGACGCCCTTCGTCATGGCCGAAAACATCGACGTCGCCACTCTCACGCAGGAGCGTTTGAACGATCTGCTGCGACAACTGCACGAAAGCTCCGAGGAAATCGCGGCATTGACGGCAGAACGCTCATCACTGCAAAATGACCTCATGAGAGCACAATCCCAAGCACCTGGCACTCCGATTCAACCTGCACCCTCAACATCACAACACGGGAGTGTGGGGCAACCCGCGAGCGCGGCCAGCGATGGCGTCGTCCGCCCCGACGGAGACGACGACCACGGCACGACACACCCCAGAGCGACGCCTGCGGCCCCAAGTCAGCCTCGCGTCACGATTTCGGCACCAACCCACGATTCGGGACTGCCGTCACCGATGCCGCTGAAACCGCAGCGCCCGCCATGCTTTGACCCGAGTCAACGGGGTGGTCCTACCGTTCAGGCGTGGTTATTCACAATGAATGTTTTCTTCGACGCCAACTACGTCTCGGAGGACCGGCGAAGATTCGATACGCCGTGTCGTTGCTGCGAGGACCCGCCATGGACTGGTGGCGCGTCATCGTCACGAAGCCGACCGACTACGCGACACTACCGACACGGGAAGGACAAACCGGACCCTGGGCGCCGTCGTATTTCGTGGAGGTGCCCCAGTATCGCACGTGGGACGCGTGGTGCGCAGGTCTGCGCGCTCGATTTGAGCCAATCGCGGCCTCGATCTCGGCGCGACAGAAGCTCCGCACTTGGCGCCAACTCGGTTCCGTCCAGGATTACACGAGCGGATTTCTGGCGCTATGCGAGCAGGTGGGCTACATGCATGAGAGCGAACGCATCGACCGCTACATCGGCGGCCTGAAGCAGGACATCGCTCAGGAAATCCAGCTTCGCGGCGTCACTGAGTTTCAGGAAATTCTCGCTATGGCGGAGAAGCTCGACTTCTTTCGCCGACCGAGACCGGGGTCCTACGGAAACAACACCTGGGGACATCGGCCTCGTGGGACGAACGAGAGCGCCACGATACGCGCCGTCGCCGCAAATGCCGCTGCCGCACCGTT